TCAAATGTAATCTCGTAATTTTGACTGGTCGGACAAAATTGTGCACCTGGACGCAATTTCCAAACTGCTAATATAATATATTGCTATCAATCAATTAAACACATTTAAATAAACAAATTACAAATTTATTTTCTCAAAAGGTTGGATAACATTTGAACCAACAGATTCATAGATTTGAAAGTGAAAGTAGCGTTTATCTGTGTAACTTTAATGGTATCATGTGACCAATCTGGAAAAGATGATTCCATGGGCTGTTTAGACATAGCTAACTAGAGATGGAATCAAACATGTTGGGAAAAGAATAAATTGTTTTGGTGTTGAATTTTGTTGTAATTTGTGGCAATTAATAGAATATATTGAATGAGTGTAGTTTAATACTAAATTTATTGAACTAGTTGAATAAAATCATATTATGCGAGCCTCTGGCGAGCATAATATTGTTTTATTCAACGAGTTCAATAAATGTAATCACTATAGCCATCAGTTTTCATTACCAAAAGACCTCTTAAAATGAAATTATTTTGCTCTATTGAATCTACACGAATATAATATTCTATTTATCACATCTATATAAAATAAGAACAGTAAACTGTTAAACTGAGTAATTTTTCAATGACGCGCCTATAGTGTAACCTAACATTAGTGCGCTTGAACGCTATGTTTCTATATATCACAAATGACGTCACGTCAAAGTGTTATTACACTAGTGTAATATCGTTTTTATTAAATGGCTTTATTACACTCCTGCGCAGCAGTTTATGTGATAAAAAATTATAAAGAAATGATTACATCATATACATGTTTATTATAATATGATTAGAGCTATACCAGCCTACACATTAACTAACCTGAAATACGATTCCAGATTTCGCTATCGAAGATCCCGGATTTTTGGCCCCATCATATAAGCCAAAAATACGTTCATAATACAATAAGTTTAATGATTATTATAATCAGTTGCCAAGTATTGGTGCAAATTATCATTCACAACAAACACGCATTTTTTCATATTTTCAAATGATTCGAAACAAATGGTACACTTTGTATTGGCTGAGAAAAAAGCAATTTGGATACATAATGTTGTTTATTATATATACATAAACATTTGTTTTTTGCTTTTTTGTCATTATATTAGTCATTACTAAATGTAAATGTAAACAGTTTCATTACATCTTTTATACACATGTGTAAAAAGAAACAAAATCCTTAGACCAGCGAAAATAAAAATTGTTGCAGGCTTTCATTTACGTCCCCAAAGCTCCAGCTTACGCAGATTTCAAGCAAGAAAATGTTGAAATTTTGAATTTTGAAATATCATTTAATATGTTCATTCTAAGGTGATAACACTGAACCTTCTACCTGATAGGTAAGTGTCATTTCATGATTAGAGGTGTTTGGTTTCTTTCTTTTTAAAGTCCATGTGCTACTCAAGAGATTATTTATATAAAACAAAATAAAATAAGATGAAATAAAATGCAATTTAAAAAAGGGGAGCAGAAGTAATGATACCGTATATTACAACAGGGTCTTTCTATTTGAAAGACCCTGATTACAAGCAGACCTCAAAACACAAAATTTAAAAATAAGACAACATACCCCAACGCCATTTATACAGTTTTCCAATAGGAATACTGGAACTACACAACAAGAAAAATGTAGAATAAAGTAAGATAGCAACATGCACGTCAATTATATCTAGCTGAACGATCAGGGTATCTGATTGGATGTACGGGGCGACGTCCAAACGTCACAAACGGCGCTGATGTGGCACAAAATATAAACTAAAAGACATTTTGGGGAATAATAATGTTTTTCCTTGTTTACAAGAATGCTGACCAATGCGGATTATTTTGTGTGAGGTTAATATTGAAAATGCTAACAATATCTGCCCATAAATTAAAACCTGTAGATAGAAGGACTAAGAGAATGTGTAAAGTATGTGAATCAAACTTTATTTAGAATTTTGATATACAAATATGTTAGAAAAGGATATTTAGACAATTAATATTATGAATGTCCAATTATTTCAATAATAAATGTTTAGATAAAAGTAGTAAAGATGAAAGAATGTAAAACTATAAAAATATTAACTCGCTGTTTGAATTGTGGAGTAATTTTTGTCATATTCTCTTAATACAACATGTTGTGTAAATATACATAACCAGTGTTTTTATTTTCTTTATGCTTATAACACATTTGTGAACATTTACCATTCTTTCAATTGATCAAAGTACATAAATGATCAAGAGTGTACTTTAACTGTAATCTAATGTTTTTTCTGTTATAATAGTATTTATTTTAGTGTCATGATAGAAACAGTAAGTATATGTTGTATTTTTGTTAGAATGATCAGCGTTTGGTAGGTTTTCGGTAATCTCCATAAGCTGTACGGACATATACCAGCATTCTGATGCCTTAAATAATAAATGCGTAACAGCACAATAGTTAAAATACGGTTTTGTAATGTCTTTTTGTCATACGTAACATGAGATCTAGTCAATCTACTAGTTAATGATATTGTACATAGTTGTTGGTGTGGGGTGTTGATTTATGCTTTTGCGGGTTTTATTTTTATTTTTCTGATGATGTTGTTGTTGTTTGTTCGTTTGTTTGTTTTGTTTAATTGTTGTGTTACTGTTTTTATTTTAGTATGTTTACTCTAAATTTTGACAAAGTCTATACTCTTTTTCTTAAATAGCATCATTTAATATTAATTATCTCAGATACAATCGACGTTAATACAATTGACTCCTGTATAATAAATACACTGGAAAGCAAATCAAAACATTAGAAAATATCTAATTTATCACTCAGTATCACTTGCGGTGTCTTTGTTGCTGGCAAAACAATTCGAACTACTGTCGACTGCAAAAATCTTATGTGATGGAGTTTATGAAATGAATAAATTATGTGTGTTGCTACACACACACGCCCGTGTTTGCAAGCATTTACTTATTTATATCAGAATATATTGCAAACGATCAAGAAAAATAAACATACTTCACACAAATTGAAATAAAACACCACAGAAAAAAGTAAGAATAACCTTAAATCATATACAAATATATTTGATATCAAATTAACATTAAACAATGAGCAAATGTATAATATGTGTGAACATTTTTTTCAAACCGCTTGCCCTTCACAGCTGTGGGTTCGAATCCCGACAGGGACTTTGGATTCTTTCATGTGAGGAAGCTATCAAATTAACATTAAACAATGAGCAAATGTATAATATGTGTGAACATTATTTTCAAACCGCTTGCCCTTCACCGCTGTGGGTTCGAATCCCGACAGGGACTTTGGATTCTTTCATGTGAGGAAGCTATGAAATTAACATTAAACAATGAGCAAATGTATAATATGTGTGAACATTATTTTCAAACCGCTTGCCCCTCACCGCTGTGGATTCGAATCCCGACAGGGACTTTGGATTCTTTCATGTGAGGAAGCTATCCAGCTAGCTTACGGAACGTCAGTGGTTCTACTCAGGTAACCGTTCGTGCATGAAAATAATGCACGGAATGGCACCTGAGGTCTCCCTCGACCAATAAAGCTGGAACGTCGCCATATGACCTATACTGTGTCGGTGTGACGTAAAACCCAGTCAAACAAAGTGAACATTTTAACGAGGATTTTATCTTAATCTTAATTTGTGAAATGGTGTTTAAACAAAGCAACTTAAGTCATGCTTGAGATAGATAGTCAATCTGTTTCACCATTTTCAACTTCTTTTGTAATATTTTAATAATATTTCAATTTACTTACATTAAAATTATTAAATTGAATATTGAATATATTATGTTATATCTAATTAATGAAAATCTTAATACAATGTATTATTTACTGGAAAAAAATGTTTGCTGGAACAACGTTTCCTAATTTCAGATTAGTCTTTCCCTGTCCTTTGGGTACGTAATATACCGATATTCTACTATATATTAACACAACATTTGTAAAGAATCGAAAATGTTTTTGATTTGATCAACTGTAAGACTTATGAAAATTCGACTAGAGATATTTAGAAATAAAAAGATATATGTATGTTTATTGTACTGTATATGAAATAAATCAAAATGGAAAATTTATAAGTCGTTCTAGTGTTGCAGACTCGGTGGTTTGATTGAGTCTGTTAATGACCAGTAATGTCAACCTGCCCATACCACCACCTTAAGGAGAACAATTTCAAATCATCCGCATATGTGTTGAAAAGTCTTTGAAACACAATATCCATCTAGGGCAAAATATATATCTAAGTACAATTTCAATCGAAAGTTAGCATATTATCTACAAACTTATCCATTTGTGAAATGACAAGTAATTTTTAAATATGTAATTATTTTAGACTTTCTACTGTGAATATACATATATTATTTGTTATAAATTTTAACACAGATATAAAATTATCTCTGCAAAAGTTCACAAAAAGCTACCAATTTCACCGTAATTGATGAAAAAACTTCTATAGCTTTTTTACCTGGTCGGTAAATATTTAACAACTTTGTAATATATTAGAAAGTCGAACTTACAATTATCAAACTAACATAGTATTTTTAAATACCTATATTTTGCAAAAACGCCAATACGGGTGTGAGAGTAAAGGTCCAGTAGGAACGCGACGTTAAATGAATGCTACTCCGACCCCAACATCAGGACACACGGGACTAGAACTAGAAAGGCACCGATTGGGACAACGAAAATGAACGGTATGTATCACATAGTGTGGTGAGAAGAGAGGGTACTTAAACTGAAGTGTTTAAGCAATTAATTAGCAAAAGGGCACACTGCAAACTAACTGCCTTACAGAAAACTAACACTCATGTTTTGGCACTACAAGTGTATCTCAAAAATAGGTCATACTAGTCAATATATGATTACATTAAGATGAATCAGAAAGTAAATTATAGAATACATACGATAGTGATGCTAAGTTGGTGAAATTTACGGACAATTGCTAAACTTTGTAGCAGTAGATATTAGTTTGATAGAAAGATAAATGTTATAATATCCCGAAAATGGGACTCTCACTGATATTACCGTTTTTAGTGGTGACGGGGACTTTTGCAAGTAAGTAAATTTCTTATATTTTAGCCTATTTAATTTCAAATAACATTGCTTCGTTTATTCTAAAATTGTAGTCATTAAACCCCGATTCATTCTGTGAACATTCATTGACAAAATATAAATAACACATAGGTTTGTCGTTAACAGTAAAATATCATAACATAAAATAACGAAACAGTTTTAACAATTAACAAGGCGCATAGCGTAGTCACTATTTCTATAATTGTTCTTGAATGGGTGTAGTTTTTGAACGACATTTAAGCAGGCTTACAGATTCATATTAAATGAAGATTCCAGCGATTTTTTTTCTAAGGAAATATGTATAGATATGTTTTTCTAACGCAATTTTGATTAGTTATAAAAATCAAAGTTAATTTGTTATAATCTTTTATTATTTCCAGGTCCTATACAAGAATTAGGCAGCACTAATCAATGTGCAAAACAATGTACAGGTATGTTCAACATATAAGATATTATCATTAATAACAAAATATTTGTATGACGTAATCATGTTGTAAAAAGTTAATATACATAAAAGTTAAGTACGTGGTTTGTTTTCTGGAAAAATAGGGTTAAAAGGCGGCAAACGTATCTTCCACTGCGTACGCTAATAATCTTACAATATGCAAAGCAAACAATAAGAATGTAAAATATATTTCTTGTCGATCGTAAATTAACAAAATGCATTCCAAATAAGCATGTAAAATACGCCAACTTATAACGTAAAACGCCTTTCTCTATCACATTTCTTGACCTTATTCTTTTATTAGTAACGAGTCAATTCAGGTATGAAAGCAGAAAGACATATGAATACAGATATGACACCAAAATAAGAACAGCGATACAAGGTGCTTCGGAAGATCAAGCCGGTGTTGACATGTCAGCAAAGGTGTACATCAATTTCCTCTCCAAGTGTGAAATGGTCATACGGGTATGTTGGCATTTGTTAAGAATATAATACGAGGGATTAACAAATATGAATGCAAATAGGTCAATTTTCAGAAGTGCTTAAAGATCCTGTAACTCAATCTTTTATAGTTTTATATTATAAATACAAAGCTCAAATGAAGATTTATCAATATTGTAAGTTCCAAAAAGCATTATTTGTAAAGATATTACCGAATTTACATTTCATGTTAATAAAGGGAGATTATTATAAATTTATTTTCTGTAAAGTCTAAGTCAATTTTTACAATATGAAATGAGTGCACATATTTTAATGACTAAATATAATGTGGACAAATATTTGCAGTAAATTTTTTACATATTCTTCGACGTTTGAAAATTGTTTTAGAAGCATAATTATATACGTATATAAAATTCCACTTAAGTGTGTAACAACCTTATTTACGACATACAGGATCTTTAACAAACAGTGCCAGAATAATAATCTCAATCCTTCAAAATACTCACCACCATATGATATACAAAAAAGAGAAAATAAAAATCCCTAAAGAAAGCCCGAAACGGCAAAATTAAAAATGTTACAGGCTCAGTTTGAGTGAGTCTGTTTATAGACAGTACTGTCAAGTGCAAACTACCGTCCATCCAAGCCCCCTAGCACCGGCTTAAGCAGAATTCAATACTTAAACATGAAATGATAAAATTTTGAAGTAAGAAACAATGGAAAATAGCGCAGCCGAGATTTTTGCGTTTTCTTCTAGCGAGGTGTTTTTGAGCCTCGGAAATAGGAAAAAAAAGTCACGAGGGGTAAGATCTGGCGAATAAGTAGGGGGATGGAGCTCGACAACCTTTTCCTGTTTCAGATATTCTAGTACAATGACCGGCTTTTATGACGAAGCATTGTCATGCAACAACCTGACACCAAGGACAGCAGTTGCTGTTCGAAGGTTTTTGAAATATATCTTTAATTTATGAAGGACATTGCCTTTGTAAAATTTGGCATTTAAAGATTTACCCTTTGGTACGGCAATTTGAATAGCAGGACCTTAATTGGTAAAGAAATGTACATGCATGATCTGTGTGACGCTTAAAGTGAGTTTGCTATGCAAGGTCTTTGACTTCCTTTGGTTGTCCACATTTTGTTACGTAAATTTCGCTTGGACTCATAAAAGTGAATCCACGTCTCTTCGCCAGTGATGATATTACGAAAGATCGATTGCTGTATTTAGGGAAATGTTTCACCAATTCTTGTTTTAGCTCTTTTGTAAGGAGACGGGTTATACATCTTGATCTTATCCTTCTCATTTTTAAATCACGTCTGAGAATTGTATGAGCGGCTCCTACAGACATACAAAAGCATTTTAGCTGTATACCTAATTGTAAATCTTGCATCAGTAGCAATCAAATCCTTTACTTTTTCAAACATTTTTGGCGAAGTTTCAGTGTTTGGATGGCGTGCATGAGGTGCATCTTTTACTGAATCCACACCACTTTTAAATTTCTTACACCACCATGTGTCGGATGAAAAAGAAAGTTCATTAATCACATAAACACGGCATATTTCATTAAATATGGTTTTCGCCTGACTACCACGAATACAGCGGTTATTGATTTGGACCTATTTAGACAGTGAAAAGAGAACCTTTTCCCAACCATTTTAGCTTTAGTATACACGAGTAGATAACATTCGAGCTATTGTCAAAGTTAAACTGAACTGATTTACACATGTATTGTATCAATTGAGAGTTTACACAACCATCTATGTGATACATATATATAGTACGTGCAAAACGTGGTTAAAAGCGAGATATTGGCCTAGTTGCATTCATATTTGAACGCCCCTCGTATTCTTCTGCCTTTTGTGGTCATGAATAACTTCCGAGTTTGAACCATGACAATGTTAAATTACATTTATTCGATACAAATGGTTTAACATTATAAAACAATCTTATATTTCGGAGAATTGATGCATTAATCTAAGTGTTTTATAGACCTTATTTGTTAAAAGAACATTAAAATTACTTATAGATGAGTGACGTCAAAATGTCAGAGCATGACCCAGAGACATCAACCATGAAACCAATGACCACAGAGCTCATTTTTGAACTGGAACGAAATCCATTGGTAGTCTCTTTCCAAGATGGTAAAATCGAGGAGTTGTGTCTGTAAAAACCAGAATCTGACAAGATCTTAAATATCAAGAGAGGTATTCTGTCCCTTATCCAGAACAATATGGATGACATCAACAAAGACCAAACAGTCACTGAAGTAAGTCTCAAACCAATTTCTTATGTTCTTCAATACAGAATGGCTTCTTTACATTGGTGATGTTCTTTCTGTAATTTATTTTGATTTTCAGGAAAAACATGTAGATCAATTGAAAAGTGAAAAAGTTCATACTTATTCAACACAAACATTAATCAATTGTTTCCAAACACTTTTTCATTATAGAGTGACGTTTCTGGTAATTGTGTTACTGAATACACATCTAAAGATAATGGCTGGTACAACAAAATAATCAAGAAATCCAAAAATCTTCTTGGATGTACAGGTCGCCAAAACAGTAACTCAGCCATCCAGGGCATTCCTTATTATTCTAAGTCAGTAAGTAACGTTATAGTATGTATTGATGAAATTTCCTTTTTGTTTTTTATATACATAATTTATATACGACTGAAGTATATATTAAAGATCCTGTGACACAATTTTTTTATGGTTTAATATCATAAATATGATGCTCAAATTAAGATTCATCAATTTTGTAAGTTCCGAAAAGCATTATTTATAAAGATATTTCCGAATTAAACATTTCATGTAAATAAAGAGAGGTAATAAAAATTATTGTCTATAAAGTCTCAGGCAAATTTTTAAATATGAAATGAATGCATATATAATATAATATATAGAAATATTTGCAGTACATATTTAACATATTCTTCGATGTTTGAAAATTGTTTTATAAGCATAAGTATATAAAATATATATACATTTGTATAATTTCACTTAAGTGTGGTATACAAGTGTGGTTAAACTGTGCTCTGGTGAATTCAATGTGACTTGCTCTCGAGATCCGAAGTGAAAACTACCAACACCACCACCACTGATATACAAACTCAATTACATCATACATGATGTTTAACTTCTTTTTAATTCAAAAGTTAAAATGTCTATTTGATATGAATCCTATAGTCATTTCAATAACAGGATGTACAGACTCTTCCCCTTATCAAGAGTACACATGAATGTCAGCAAGAAATAGTATCAGCAACTGGGCGTCTTCAAGTCGCAAAGTGTACGGAACAACACAAATTTGTACCTTTCTCCAGATTAGACAGTGGAGCCACAACACATTACACTCAAACCTTGACTTTTGTTAAAGAATATAAATCCCAGTCAAAACCAGGTAAAATGGATTTTGGTATTTAAATATAAAATTCTCTTTTTATTTCTGTCAACAAAAATAATGAGCAAAGTGAATATCTGTAATTTCTTTTAAACGCCTTTATAGGATCTAACTGTATTTTCATTTCTTTGTTTCTCATCAGAACAAGTTTCTGTAAGAGTACCAGTTCAGTTCCAACATTCAAATGGAAACGATGAAGAATACACAATAAAGGACATAGAACAGAAACTGATGGAGATTTGTGCAAACACAAAGAATGGAGTGACCCCAGAAACACCAAAATTATTCACATCATTGGTTTATATCATGAAGGCTATGGAATCTAACGATCTTCTGTCAATTTATAAAAAAGTTAACAGCAAAGAAATCTGTCCAGTTAACAACGACATAGTAAGGTTAGCGAATGTGCATTTAAATTAAATTCATACGCTTGCCCTGAAAAGAGAATTACATGTATTTAAAACTCCATTGCAGAAGCTGAATAACGACTTTCAGACGACTTAATATTGATAGATACTTTAATTCCTCGATATTTGGAGAGCAAAACATATTTACAATTAAATACATCAACTGTATATACATATGTACAAACAAGATACACTTTACTTCTATAAATAATGCATGCACAAACATTAATATATAAACCATTCGATTATTAAAGCCTTGAATTAGTATTTTACGATCTAAATAATTCAATCCAAATTACTGATAAGCAAAACAATTTAGTCCACTATAATAATGACCAATAGTACAGACTGATCTCCAGTTAAATGATCTTGTCGAAAACGAAATTAATATACATTACAGGAATTAAGTCAGCAAAATGGCCTATACGTTTAATAATTTGCATTCTCTCTGTACCAGTAATCTTATCAATAGCTATTAACAATTAGACATTACAAGAAAACAATTGAGAACGCTTTTTGCAACAGTATAAATACAGGTCAATGATTTAATTCAAATCTATCAGTTATATGCACTAAATTTCACGATCCATAATTCATGTACATGTCTGTATTAAGTTTAAACAATTCACACACTAGCTTCACGAGTTTAAAATATTTAAAAGTTTGGCTTGTTGTTTCGAGAGCTAAGCCAAGCAAAAAAACTACATCTGGTCTGATGGTAACAACTGTATAAATGAAATGTATCTGCTGTACCCAAGATTTTCAATAACAGTTCCCCCTAATTTTTTACGTGTGTCTAGATTCTTAGGACAGTAGCATATTTGATGTTGCACAAAGTCTGCATATAAACAATTACATTTGTCACATTTCCAGATATATTCTATTTAGAGACAAAGCGCGATATTATGTACACAAGTTTTTTGCAAAGGGAGAGTAATCGAGGGTTATTCCTACACATACACCATAATGTGCAAGGGTTATCCCCCATTGGTAATATTGGTGTTAACACTTGAATCTGCGCTGTAACTGCTCTAATTAAGTCTTCTTTCTTTGGTTTGATTACATATTCATGTAATATTCGTTTCCATGAAGATTTTGGTGGAAAACTACTGTCTGTAACATATGAGTTAATAACTTCACTCAACCCGTATTTCAGAAGAATACAAATAATTGTCAGGAATATACCCTTGTGTTTGATAATCAAAATTTAAGTAGTGAAACAGTCTATTGTTGAATAACTGCTTTGCCAAGAAAGTGTTAGCTTCCTCAGTTCGATGGAAGACTCTAGGCTTATCATATCTAACGCACTCAATGCGAAATCCGTTGACGTTGTAATTGGTAAGAATTGTATATGTTTGGCACAAAAACCATGAGATAGCTCAAGACGTAGTATTTCTGTTGCAGACAATGAGGACCATAACTCACAGCCATATAAGGCCTTTGGAATAACTGTTGAAGTATAGATAATTCTGGACGAAATGGGATTCAAACCCACTATTGACTATTTTCAGGTATGTCCCTCTCAACTTGTTACAAGCACTATCAAGAAAATGATCAGTTTTCAACCCCAAATGAACATAAGAATTAGTTTCCCTTATAACACTATTACCGAGATAAAACGTCCTGTTGTTTGAACTTACAGTATCACGCTCATTAAAGACGACTATACCGCCAAAGTTTTGAGTAATTGTTACAAATATCAAGCATTTGTTTAAGACCCTGAACTGAAAATGATATAAGTAGCATGTCATCAGCAACAGCAGGTGTACTATGTCTTGTGTCATACACACAAATTCCACATCCACTTTGCTCTAATGCACCCAAGAACGCATTTATGTACACAAGATACAAAATTGGTGAAGTCTTTCCTTCTTGTCTTGTGCCTTGAAGGACATTAAACCAGTCGGAGTGATTACCTTGATATCGTGCACAGCTTGTCGTGTGAGTATACATTGCATTGAAAGCTAAAAATGTAGTTTTATCGGTACAAGTTTCAAAAAGAAGTTTATAAAGCCAAACTGTATCGAACGCCTTACGTCCGTCCATAAAACACACGTACGTTTTCGAGCCTAATTCGCGAGCAAATTGTATACTTTCTCTGAGTATTAGGCAGGGTAAACCGTTTTGAAATCCTCCTTGTTGCCTATTCAAAGATTCACTTATAACGCACTTTGATCTTGATAATAAAACAGATTAAAAAAGTTTAAGGATGACTGATGAAAGTGTTAATGCGCGATAATTATCAGGGTTATATTTTCTTTCTTTTGTTCCCACCTTTATGTAAGGTCACAATTACCCCTATTTTTAAATATTCCGGGACAAAAGCATTTCTTAACATCCATGTGAACATATTGGCTAACACAGGAGCGAATATATCCTTTGCATAAATAAGATGTTCATATTGAATCTGATCGTATTCACCAGACGTCCCCCTGGAGCACTGTGTTATAGCATTTTTCACTACTTCCGGTAAAACCGTAGCTAATGTATCCGGTTGCAAAGAATGTTTGCATCCCTTTAATTATCAGATATAAAAATCTTAAAGTTTGTGTCATAGTCATTATCATTATTTGGTGAGTATAAGTCTTTAAAATATGTGTACCATCCATCAATTATAAACTTCCTGTCTCTAAGAGTTCATCCATTGAAATTTATACCAGCACTTTGACATGTTGAGAAGAAATATTCTTTTTGCGTCGATTTATCATTTACCAAAATTTAACGGAATCGACTTCCGCTGTCCGGTCAGTCTCAGAATTAAGTTCTAATAAATATTCATTAACCCGTAGTCTGTGTAGTCTTCGGAACTTGCGTTTCGCTGCTTTATATTTTGAATTTTCCGGGTTAGTAGTATTGCGAGGACGTCCTTGACGACACCATTCCTGTCTGAGAATTTTTGTCTCTTGATGAGCAACAGTTAAATTATCATTCCAATACGGTTTGAGTTATTCTTTAAAACTTTTTTTGGGAGAGACGCATTTGCACATGAAATGACACTTTCTACCACTCCAGCATACACAGATTCAATTGCAGGTGTATCAAATTCACAGTGTTCTAGTTTCATTAAATTACCGTCAGCCATCAACAATTCATTATAAGTATCTATATGCATAGTATTACATTTACCCCAATTAATGATTACAATGTAATTATTATAACTTTCTTCTCTAAGAATCAGAATATCAATATCACATAAAATAAGTCTATGAGAAGATACATTTAAACAATTGTCATCAAAAAATTCACAATGCTTTACACAGTCTTTTAGTTCTACAGGAAAACATATAAAATCTATTAATGTTTGACTTTTACCATCAAATGAAACATATGTGTTATGTTCACCCTGAAAATTTTCTGTTACATTTACAGGAGAGATATTTGTATCAACAAGAAAATTATACAATAAAATATCTCTTGTACGTTTACTTAGATTGTCATACTTAGCATTGAAATCACCTAAGAAAAGTACAGTTCCACTGTTCACGTAGGTACTCCAAATGTCATATAATCTACCAATATATTCCTAATACAAATTTATTGACTGATTTACACATGGTAAATTTACCTGAAATATATAAAAAAAATATTGACTTGGTGAAATTTGAAATTGCACACCGATGATTCTGTCATCGTCTATAGTTAATGGGACTACATAGTCAGCATGGCGTTTATGCTACATCATTGCTACACCACCTTTTCCGACCCTTCTATTACTTGGGAGTGAGAGATCTTTATCACACGCTACGTGAGTACAATAATCTGATGACATAGTATCTATAAAATGGACATTTTGTGGAGATAATTAATGCTCGGATATACCACAGAAATCTATATCATATTTTCTTTAGCAGTCAACTAGATAAGACGCACAAGACATTAAACATGTGGCTAGTATTCATCACAATTAAGTATGTATATAAAGTAAAGACACTGAACATAATTCTTATTATCATATCAATTGAATTGTGATTGTTCTAAGCGATTTAAGCCATGATTTGTCTGTCATGAGCATACCCGGAGGTATGTCACGTGCCCATGTTAAGCGTCTGCTGTCACTTTCATCGTCACGTTGTCGACGTAATGCGTCACGCGAGAGCCATACACGACATGATATTCTATTTGGCTAGAAATTCCTTTTTAACACATAATTCGCCCTATCGTCACTTATAACATACAATCTAATTATAAATTTATTTCTTGAATGTTTGACAGGGAATATCCTTACATTGGTAACACATGGGCCTTGACAGTTAACGTATGTTGCGATTTCTTGCACTTATATGGAATCGGTATACCCACTTACATAAGAAAAAAAGAAAGTTTTGAACTACGACGTATCTTTGTCCTAAACCCATCGTCGCGACATGTCGTTATATGCACTGGTATTGGGTGCACTTACTGGTTGGAGCATGTCACAGTTCGGTAAGCTCCAATTTCACCTTGGTCATCACAGTATGACATACTCTCTGGTATTGAACCATTTACATTGTTAACAGCATCGTGAGGATCAACTTCACTGGAGTAAAATGCGTTGCCATTGAAATTCACTTGTTCACCTACAACATTGCAAATGCCTTGCGAAGAGTTGTGGTTGGTTTCGTTTGTTTTTTCAATGGTCACTTCCGGTACATTCTTTGAAAGCATAGGGGCATTTTCATTAAACGACAATAATTTTTCAACAGTTATTATTATTCCCGAGGTATCCAGAAAGCTTTCCAGAGAGGATACGCGTTCGTACGCGTTCGTCAAACTCGAGAGGACAGGTTCGAGCATCTGCTGCAACTCATGTGTCACTATAGATTTCATGCTTGTTTTACAATTGGTATGTGCTTACTGCATTGAGAAACTTCACATTTAATTGTCTCTACGGATTGGCACATTGTTTTTATTTCAGCCGTTCTAAACTTTTCTGCAGCGTACATTGTCTGTTTGATATGCAAAATATCGGCTTGTAGAAACTATATCTTTAATAAGACCGATTTCTATTG